CAGAAAAACTCTGTCCCCACTATACAAGATAGCAGGTGAAAAGGCTGCGAAGCAGGATACTAAGTTGAAGAAGCCTGAAGCCAAGATGGCTGATGCCAGTGACAAGGTTAAAAAGGGTGACCCCAAGGCTAAAAAGCCCAAGAAGGGGAAGCCCCATTGCAGTTGAAACCCCATCCTAGTCCCGGGCATGGGCAGATACTCCTGGTCTGCCATGTATTCCAGGAAGCCCATGTATAAGAGGAAATACTTGGCCACTAAATCCAGGACCGAAAAGAAAAAGGAGGAGAAGGTTCTTGCAACTGTCACAAAACCAGTTGGTGGAGACAACAATGGTGGTACCCGGGTGGTTAAACTGTGTAAAATGCCTAGGTATTGTCCTACTGAAGATGTTCGTTGAAAGCTGTTGAGCCACGGCAAAAAACTCTACAGTCAGCATGTGAGAAAGCTACGAGCCAGCATCACTCCTAGTACCATTCTGATCATCCTCGCTGGATGCCACAGAAGCAAGAGAGTGGTTTTCCTGAAGCAGCTGAGCAGTGGCTTGCTACTTGTAACTGGACTGCTGATTCTCAATCGAGTTCCACTGTGTAGACCATGCCAGAAATTTGTCATTGCCACCTCCACGAAAACTGATATTAGCAAAGTAAAAATCCCAAAGCTCAGGACAAGCAGTTAGCGTAATCGCTATGTTGCTGGACTTCCATGTAGTCAACTGCGATTAGAGTTCTGGACCGCAGTTTCAGTCCTGGACCCGGTGGCTTAAACTCACGCTGGGCGCATGTGCCTGTGTGCCCAGGATCCCGAGAGGAAAATGGATCCCGAGAAGAGAATGGATCCCGAGAGGAGAATGGAGAAGGGATTGCAGTGTGGCCATCCCTCCTGGGGTGTGTGTGTGTGATTTCTCACTTTTTGTCTGTCTTTCTCTTTCTAGTGAGCGCATGCGCCCTATAGCAAAAAGCTCTCAAAAAACAAAAACAAAAAAACAACACAAAAAAGCACCTTACTGATGCCTACTTCAAGAAAAAGAGATTGCGGAAGCCCAGACACCAGGAAGGTGAGATCTTCGACACAGAAAAGGAGAAATACGAGATTTCAGAACAGCGCAAGGTTGATCAGAAAGCTGTGGAATCGCAAATTTTACCAAAAATCAAAGCTGTTCCTCAGCTCCAGGGCTACCTGCGATCCGTGTTTGCCCTTACAAATGGAGTTTATCCTCACAAATTGGTGTTCTAAATTTTTTGCCAAGAACCTAATTAAATAACTGATCATATATATAAAAAAATCACAGAATATTTCATGAAAAACTACAGATTTCAAAAAATTTTGTACCAAAATCAATACATACTTCAGTTCTATTTTTTCCACATACTTTTTGAAGTTCCCGCATATAATTTCCATGTTTAAAACAGAAGAAAATAAAAAGACATCAGGGAAACCCATAGCCCAGTCAAAGTTATGCAATTAAAAATGGATCAAACATTCAAGAGATCCTAAGTATTCTGACCCACAGTAACAGGTCATGCCAGGTTGTTCTAGATGTATTTCACAGGATTCTATTACATAGACAAAGAACAGGAATTACACATACTAGAGACAGCCATGCTGGCAAGAAAAAGAATGTTTAAAAAATTAATTACAAAAATATTTAATGAAATAGACACAAGCAAAATGTGACAACAGAAGGCTGATATCAAAAGTTTTTCTTCTTTTTTTAAAGAATTATTTTATTTAATTTTACTTATTTTCATTTGACCAGAGAGAGAGAGAGAGAGAAAATGAGAAAACAAGCTACCAGGTCCGGGACTCGAACCGTGATTGGCCATGTGGCAGTCCAGTGCCCTTAACCACCACACCGCCTGCTGCTGGCTCCAATGCAAAAAGTTTTATATATTCACTAAAAAGATCTTTAAAATACAGAAAAGGCAAAAAAAAAAAAAAAAGAAAAAACATATGAAAACAAAAAAGCAAAATTTCACCTATAGTCCTACTATTAACACATAACCAACATTTCTATTTTATTTCCTTCCAATCTCCTTTTCCCAATTTCATAGTTTATGTATGTATCTTAAACAAAATCATAATCATAGGTATAAATAATTTTGAAAACTCCTTTTTACATCTAATCTGTCAAAGTTTTTAATGTTTGTAACCTCTGTAAAAAATTGTATTAACCATTACAGTAACAAATATTCTAGAATTTACTTAATGATAGACATATAAGCTACTTTAAATCTGGCACTTGACTTCTTTTAAGGCCCTTGATACATATTGCTAAACTGTCTTCCGAAAGTGCTGAAAAAAATCTGTGCTTTGTTTAGTTCACGTGTCAACTGACTGATTCAAGAAGCCAGTCAACAGGCTAAGGAATATCATTGGACAAAAAAAAAAAGAATTTTTAGAAATACAAAAACTGACTGACTTACGTTCGAACTTTATGCCGACCGATGATGAAAGAAACCTTTCGGCTCCAGGGGTTCACAAAGCTGGACCAACTGGAATCAAGTATGATGTAATCTCCGTTTTGAGTACAAAATCTAATGGGTGAATGTTCAAAGGGAGGATGGCCCACATACTTCAAGACTATATAAAATAATAAACAAAACCAACTTATTTAACAGAGATATTGATTACAAATGCTCTTTTTTTGTCATCTAGATATACATATTTTATTATGCTAAAATAGAAAAGAATTGTTTTAGGAGTTTCAGTACATTGCTTATTTGATTAAAGGTTAAACTCTAATAAAATGGAAAAATAGAACAAATCAATGATTAAAAAAAAAATTCCCCTATAAAAAAATAGATCCTTACTTTTTTGGTGTAAGGCAACCATCAGAGAACGATCTTCTGGGTGCAAGTACTTTAAGATTGATGTTCCGATCAGATCCTGAGGTAGGTAACCCAGCAAAGGCACTGCTCTGGGACAGACACATAGTACAGTAGCATGTTAAACTCACCAAGTAATTTTTATATTTTACGTACTTCTAAAAATACTTAATTGTCAACATGAAAAAAATTACGTTAAAGATGCTCATTATATCACTTGTAAAGGTACAACTTAAGTGCCCCCACTGTGGGAAATGTTTAGGTGACCTGACCAGAATGGTCATATGACATGACGCATCACAATCAGCCAGGAAACTTGCTAAAACAGATCTACAAGCTCGCTAAATCAGAACATGAAGAAGTAGAAACAGGCACTATACTTTTAGCAAGTTTCTTAGATGCCTTAAGACCTCCATTGTGTTCTCATTTAAAACATCTACAAAGGAGAACCAGCAGATGGCGTGGTGACTAGGTGCTGGACACTCCCACATGGTTGACAATGATCTGAGTCTGGGACCTAGAGGCTTGCTCTCTCACTTTCCCTCTCTCTGTTTTTCTCTCTGGTCAAATTAAAATAAATAAATGAATAAACAAAATTAAATAAATTAAACGAAATAAATGAATAAGCAAAATTAATTTTTTTTGAAGAGGTTTTTGCTATGGGGCACGTGCGCTGCCAGACAGAGACAGAGAGAGAGAAAGCGAGAAATCACCCCCTCCCCAGGGGGGGATGGCCATGCTCAATCCCTTCTCCTCCATTCTCCTCTCAGGATCTTGGGCACACACACACACGCAACCAGCGTGAGTTTAAACCACCGGGTCCGGGACTCAAACCGCAGTCGGCTACATGGGAGTCCAGCGACATACCCATTACGCTAACTACTGGTCCCCAAATTAAATAATTTTTAAAAATCTACAAAGATCACATCATAACATAAAAAGATGCCGATGATGTTAAATGAATAAAGCAGGTTATAAATTTATACAGAATGATTAAAATTACGTAAAAACAATGCCTGCCAAAAGGCAACACCAAAAGATATTCAATTAATTTACAACAGAAACATTTTCCGTATAAAAGCTCACAGGAAACTTGTAGTGCTAAGACTAAGGATGACTTACAAAAAAAGACTCCATAAACATTCTCTTTTTTCTTTTTAGTTTTTTGCCACACAGTGTGTGTGCTCGCCAAAGAGAGACACAGAAAGGGAAAGTGAGAAATCACCCCTTGGGGGATGGTTACGCAGCAATCTTTTCTCCTCCATTTTCTTCTTGGGATTTTGGGTACAGATAAGTATATGCTCAGCATGATTTACAAGCTTTCATGTCCTGAACTCCAGCTATGTTCGGCCATGCAGGAACACGATGACCAGCGCAAGACAGAGAGAGGAGAAAGTATGCCCCAACACGCCAATAATTCCTTCTCCGTCATTTCTTTACCCTGTAAGGATCTTTGGGCACATACACACACAGGTGCCTAGAAAGTTCTAGCTGCTGGAGCCAGAATTTGAACTGCTGTCAGCCATGTAGAACCTGGCTCCCTTAACCACTAGGCTATGGGGCTGACCCATAAATATTTTTTACATGTAGAAATCCACAAACATTTTCTGATGCAATAAATTTAAGCTATTTTCAGAATTATCTTTAGCTAATTTTTTTTTACCTTATATAGATTATATAATACAATGTATTTCACAATTATTGGTTGGTTTCAGGGTAACTATTATTAAATAGCCCCCCTCCCCTTTTTTAAGAAGTTTTTACCTTAAGGTGCATGCACTCGCTGGAGACAGACAGACACAGTGAGAGGGAAGGTGAGAAATCACTTTCAGGGGGTTGACCACACCACAATCCCTTTGCCTCCATTCTTTTCCCGGGATCTTGGGCACACATGCGCAGGTGCCCAGTTTGAGTTTAAAGCCACTGGGTTTGGGACTCAAACTGTGGTTGGGCATGTGAGAGTCCAGTGATGTAACCACTACACCATCTGTCGCTCCAATAAAACCAATTTTTAAATGTTAAGTTTCTTTGGGTTTTGTTTTGTTTTTAGGTTTTTGCCATAGGGTATATGTGCTCATCAGAGAGAGGGAAAGTAAGAAATCACCCCCAGAGGGATTGCCATGCCACAATTCCTTCGCCTCCATTCTCCTCCCAGGAATTTGGGCATGCATGCACATGAGTCCAATGCGGTTTTTGAGTCTCCAGGTCTGGGATTCAAACTGCTATTGATCATGTGGAAATCCAGCAACTTAACCAATATGCCACTTGCTGGCCCAAAATGTTAAGAATTTTTTAAATCAAAAGTAATATCTATCAGAACTGCATCCAGGTTTTTGACATTTTTACTTTATACTTTATGCATGATATGGTAAACTGGTTCCCTGATTTTCAAATTTCCTATGTAAAATTTTAAAGTAAATGAGAAAAAAAATGGGGGATACTGATATGGTGATATTAATGCTTACTTTCTTGGAATAGATATTAAACAGTAATAGACAATAACTATCTCTTACCACTATATTTAAATAACAAAGACTATTTCAATCTAAAAAAAGTAGGAAGAACTTAAATTCAAAATAAAGAACAATCCTTTAAATTATTCAAATTCAGATTTACATTTAAAAAATCTGCTTTTATTTCCCCCCCACCACTTCAAAAGTTCATCATAAACTGGGGACCAGCAGTTAGCGTAATGGCTATGTCGCTGGACTCCCACGTAGTCGGCCGCGGTTCACGTCCTAGACCCGGTGGCTTAAAACTCACGCCGGGCACGTGTGTGTGCATGCTCAAGATCCCGAGAGGAGAATGGAGGAGAAGGGATTGTGGCATGGCCATCCCCCATAGGGGGTGATTTCTCGCTTTCTGTCTCTCTGTCTCTCTCTGTCTGGCGAGCGCATGCGCCCTATAGTGAAAACCTCTCAAAAAAAAAAAAAAAAAGTTCATCATGAACTGACTTGAGAAACATTTCCACTAGAATGGGTGTAAGAAAGCCAAGTTCTGGAAACGGTTTGAGTAGAATCAGATTCTACTTATGTTCTTTTTTTTTTATACTTTTTTTTTTTTTTGGAGAGATTTTCACTGTAGGGTGCGTGCGCTCGCCAGACAGACAGAGAGAGACATAGAGACAGAAAGCGAGAAATCACCCCCTATGGGGGATGGCCATGCCACAATCCCTTCTCCTCCATTCTCCTCTCGGGATCTTGAGCATGCACACACACGTGCCCGGCGTGAGTTTTAAGCCACCGAGTCCGGGACGTGAACCGCGGTCAACTACATGGGAGTCCAGCGACATAGCCATTACGCTAACTGCTGGTTCCCAGATTCTATTTATGTTCTTGATGAACTGGCTGTTACATTCACTGTCCTCTTCTGTAAAATGGAACAATTCCTAAACTATCTAAAGCATACTGTTTTGAAGTCAAATACAATAACCTGCAAATCACTTCTAGAAGTATATGTATATTAAAAATGTAAGCAACATGAATAAACTCCAATGTAAGTAACAAAAATTGAATAGGCAAATGGATAATTATATAATATAGACGCATGCAAACATAAATGTAAACTTTTTGATATATTTAAAAAAGTTTCTTTTAGGTTTCAAAAGTCCTTACCAAGGGGCTAGCAGGTGGTGTGGTGGTCAAGGCGGTGGACGCCCACATAGCTAACCATGTGGCTTGGACTCAGGGGCTTGAAAAGTTATACCAGATAGGACCAGCAGATGGCGTAATGATTACATCATTGGACTCCCACACAGTCAACAACAGTTCAAGTCCCGGATCCAGAGGCTTAAAAACTCACACAGGGCATGGGTGTGTGCACACCCAAAATCATAAGAGGATATTGGAGGAGATGGGACTGCAGTATGGCCATTCCCTCTGGAGGGTAATTTCTCACTTTCTGTCACTCTGTCTCTCCAGTAAGCACAAGTGCTCTATAGCAAAAATTTAAAAAGAAAAAAGAAAAAGGAAAATCACACCATGCACATGTGTATGTATGTTCAAAATCCCAAGAGGAGAATGGAGGAGAAGAGACTGTGGCATAGCCACATTCCCTGGGGGGTGGGGGGGTGATTTCTCACTTTCTCTCTCATTGCCTCTGTTTCTCTTCAGCAAGTGCACACGCCCTATGGCAAAAACCTTAAATAAGTAAATAAATAAACAAGTAGAAAGCACTTACCTTTCATCTACTTCAAGAAAAACACACTCTGGTGTGTGTGTTGTGGTAAAAATTCTTTTATTCACTGGGATTCGAGGAGCTATGAAAAAGACCAGAAAGATTCATGGCAAGTATCTAATTAATATTCACCTAATTAACCACTTACCAAGTTAAAAAAGGAACATCTCAATTAGGAGCCTGGCCTTCAAGTAACTAAGGACATAATTAAATGGTAACAATTTTTATTATTAACTACACTTTTATCAAGTCAAAATGTGATGCCACCTATAGTTAATTTTAAAAAGATAGAAAGTCTGTACAAGGGATCAGCGAGTGATGTGGTGGTTAAGGTGCTAGACGCTCCCACATGGCTGACCACAGTTTGAGTCCTGGACCTGGTGGCTTGCTTTCTTACCCTCTCTCTGTCTCTCTCTGGTCAAATTAAAAATAAATGAGTAAGTAAATAATTAATTCTTTTTTTAAAAAAGAATATCTGTATATACTGAAAAGCTAGCTATATTTCTCATCATAAATAATCTAATAGTTAAAGTTGGAGTAACTGAAAAATTCAGTCATATTTAGTGGTTGTACATAATTAAACAAATAAAAGGATGTGAAGAGTTGTTTGGTACTACATGCATGTTCCTTTTTATTTTTCAGGGGAAAACATGCATGCATTTTATTTTTAAGAATTCCCAATAAGGAGGGAAAATTCAACATCTTTAAAAATGTGCTTATTATTTTAAAAAATCAGTTGTGTACAAAACTTTCATAGTTTTTAATTCTCAAGACAAATACCCAACCCTCCACCCATAGCCCACCCTCTTTCAACGGTATTTTTGGTAAGTCACCTAATTTCCCTTACAGGAAGTTAATGGCTCAGAATAGACCCTCCTACAGAATCAATCATCACTAACCAACTGTTAATTTGTAGTAAAATTTGCCTATGACTTGCTTTTAAAATGCAATGATTGATTTATTAGGAAATAATCTGAGTACAATGCTAGTACTGCATTTGCTTATGCACTATCGCAATTGCAAAAAAACCTTAAGCGATTGTGGTGAACAGCACCCAGTTGAACGGAGCCATTATGAATACATAAAAATTCACACACATCTCAAACCCTACCTGTAATCTCAGTTCATGCCATGCTATGAGCCACATTTATTGTAGTGTCTATGTATGAATCACTTAATATGTGTAAAACTGTGTTTTTCTGTTCATTAGATCCCTGTCTTATTTTTAATGGGTGACTAAGTTTATGAGTGTTGTGTTCTTGAATTCGTTTTCTCCATAAATCCCTTAGTTTCTATTGCGTGATTTTTGCAGAGGACCGAACCTGTAATAGCACATATGTCACAGTACATCAGAACTGACTATAATTTCAAATAATACATGGAAGCAATCTATATATTGATGGATGAGCTTAGAAATGTAGTTCCGCTTGTAGAACATATAAACTGCACTTTCTACTCAGGGAGTTTCGAGACACTTTAAACACACAAATTCTTATGGTCTTCTTCTGAAAATATCTCCATGCTCTTGTTTCCCATAAGACAGATGCAAATGGCCACACAGCGTTCACCAGGAGGAAGAACTAGGTAACAGCATATCCATTGCCAAGTTCTATGCTTAGATCATTAGGCCATGTTTCCATGAAGGAAATGACCTTGACTGGACAAGAAGGAAAGCTAAAAAAACACAGACATTAGTAAAAAACCAGCTGGAAATAATTAAAGAGGTTAGGAACTATATTTGAGACTCAGGCAATCAGTTCTTCTATGACTACAGTAAATAGCTTCCCTCCCTTCTCCCACCATCCCTATGTATGTCTCCTGACTTACCTTCATAACCAGAGTGGATCTTCTCAACCAGTGTAAGACAACAAGCTTCCCATTCTGGTTGGGCAGAACTATGTACATGAATCAAATAGGGGATAATCCGGAATGGGGAGTAATATTTCCTTTTCTCTCTGTCTTCACCTCCACTGAAGAGATTAAAGATGATTAGTGCTTAGCCTGATACATTTAATTAGCCCACTGTGAAATTAGGGTGGGAAAAATGTTTTTTTTTCCCTTTTTTATAATTTTCTTTTTTGGGTAATCTCCAAGAGAGACAAAACCAAATCTATGTATTCTAAAAAAGGGAAATGTTAAGTTTAAATTCTCAATAGCCAAAGGCAATTGCACTTATTAATTATTCAATAAATAAGAGGACTGACTTACACTACTGTGGGCATAAAAACAGAACTAGTCATTCTGTGACTCTCTTGACTACATGGGAGTCCAGCGACATAGCCATTACACCAACTGCTGGTCCCCCCAAAAACATATTAACATAGAAATCACATCAGTACTTACTTCAAGGCACTGTCCTAAGGTTAACAACTGCTTTGTGACCTGGAGGGCTAATACAGGCCCTCCCCCTTGTTTTCCTATCTCAGGTTATCCTTCCCTAAGGAGGTCAAGTCTCCTCAACTGCAAGGAGTATCTGACTAACCCATTATAGGGATAGCCAGCTACCTCCTTCTCTAAATATCTACAGTATTTAGTAACTTCAATACTAATACTGGCAATCATAACGTAATTTAAAAATATTTTTCTTTTTATTATGAGATTAACGCTAACATATATTGTGAAGTCAACTTAAGAAGGGGAAAATCACTAGTAAATCCTACCAGAAATCAACTATGGCTAACATTTAGGGGAGCCAGATGGTGGTGCCAGGATAAAATGCTACACTCTGCAAGGCTGACCCACACGAGAGGGATCTGAATTCATACCCAGAGACCTCCCTGTACACCAGGCACGTGTATACCCATGATCTGGGGCTTGCTGAGGCTGGGGGTGGATCACAGCACCAAGACCCTGTTGTGGTTACTGTCTGTCTGTCTGTCTCTCATCTCTCGTGGAGGAAATAAACTTAAAACATACATGTGTGTAACATATATGTAACATACATATAACACATATATATAGCATATATATAACAAATACACACACACACACACACACACACACACACACACTCTCACCCCTATGGTAAGAACCAAATCTTGTTTCTTGTATGCACAACAGAATTTAGCTGAATTCAGAAGAACTGGAATAAGTGCCAAATCAAATCAGAGCATAATTCAATGTTTGGGGCCACAAGCCCCTATACTTACTGGATCCTGCAGAAAAAGGATTTGACTGGAGCATATTCATACTGTGATGCAGCTAGAAACAAAGGCAAATTGTCAGTTACTCCCTCTTAAAAGCAGCTCCTCCTTGGTGAAACAATGTTACACTATTACCAAATAAATAATTTTTTAAAAGAGAGACACTCTCCATTGAAATAGGACTAATCTGCACTCTGAGATCATATTCCAGTATTTGCCAAGGGCTTCTGTGTTACAACAGTAATCCGCAGGTAAACAGTGAGCGTGCCTGAGTTTATCAGTCCTTGCTTACTTCCTACAGTCCTTTCTGTACTTCTGTAACTGCCCTTCTTCATGATTTCAAGCATCCACCTAAGGATCCTTTGCCACAGTCATTTCAGTGGCAATGTTCTAAACTTTGGACATTCTCAAAAATTGGTCATTCAGATCATACTAATTTAGTGTTAATAATGTTTTCTCACCTCCCTGCTGCTAATTCAATTTTTGAAAATGTCCAAAAGTTTAGGACATCACTACCAAAATGATTGTGGCAAAGGATCCTTAGGTTGATGTTTGAAATCATTAATAAGGGCAGTTACAGAAATATGGAAGGGATTTAATCTAGGGCATTTTCAGCTTTTCTCTATGGAGTATATAAATTTAATTTTTTTCCTTTCCTTTGAAATATTTTCCCTGGATAAATTTCAAAAAGTTGTGTTCTTAGGTTAAATTATATAATCTTATGACTCTTTTGTTGGTCAATTCAAGTCCAGAAGATCTCTCTCTCTGCCTCTCTCTCCAGCAAGCACACAGGCCCTATGGTGAAAATTTATTTAAAAAAGGACACTTCACAAAGAATATGAAATAATGAATTACTTAAAAGAGCACATGGACTGACAATCACAAAGAAAACTGTGAATAGGTAGGTATCCCTGGTTCAGGAAAATAAACATTTCAGAAGAGAAACAAAATCACGTGATTTATGAACTAAGGGGAAAGAAAGACTGGAAAAGGTCCTATGGTGAAAATTTATTTAAAAAAGGACACTTCACAAAGAATATGAAATAATGAATTACTTAAAAGAGCACATGGACTGACAATCACAAAGAAAACTGTGAATAGGTAGGTATCCCTGGTTCAGGAAAATAAACATTTCAGAAGAGAAACAAAATCACGTGATTTATGAACTAAGGGGAAAGAAAGACTGGAAAAGGAAGTTAACCATTGGAATTTTATCTCCAAAGTAAAATCTATTATGCAAAGAAATCGTGAAGTCAATATAGGGAAGAAAATATTTCATTTTATTAGCTTAAAGGAAACAGAACCTTTATAGCAAATAAACTGTTACACAGTATGCTCTTAATTAAGTCACATTTATGATATATAATCCATAAAGTTAATATGACTGAAGGAAAACAAATATACTAGATATTTCTACTATTGGGGCATTTAAAATGCTGTTTTTATCACATTTTGATTTTAAGGTATTATTTTTTGTTCTTTATAGAATAATTATTCATTTTTATTTATTTAATTTAATTTGTTCTTATTATTTTTTAATTTGACCAGAGAGATAGACAAAGGGTAAGTGAGAAAGCGAGCCACAAGGACCAGGACTCAAACCACGGTCAGCCACGTGGGAGCCCAGCACCTTAACCACCACGCCACCTGCTGGCCCCACATTCTGACTTTTTAAGAAACAGAAATAAAAACTATACAGTAGTATTTTACTTAGAATACACTAGCTTCTACACTATTTTTGAAAAATGAAACTGATCTTGTTGAGTCAAATAAGCGCCCCAGCATTGGTCCCATTACCTCTTCGGGTCCAGTTGTTCCAGAAGGGAAGCTGAGCGTGGGCAGTGTGCATGTAGAACACCCTCACATCTTGAGGAGCAAGCAGGTCAACAAAGTGAGAAGATGCCAAGAAATCTTTCTTACAGTTCAGGATCAAAGTAGCCTGTTCAGAAATGTGCACTAACCTTCCAGACAGAAATGAGAACACTGCCACAAAGGTATCCTATGAAAAACATTTAAAATAAATGCAAATATTGAGATCCTTCTAGCAATATTTTCAGAAAGGTAAATTTCTTCTAGATTTTTAACCATGATCAATAACTTAAAACATACATGCACATCCTAAGGCAACAGAATTCCCCAAGTAATTCTTTCCTACATGCTCCCTAAATATCATAAAATCTGCATTTTACTTTGTGAAGTTTTGCTTTCTATGCAAAAAAATATAGTCACTTGTTCTGTGCAGATTAAACATACTATGATACGTGAATGTCTGATTCCATGTCCTTTGCAAACTGTACTTTATACCTGGAGGGACTGTCTTCTCTTTACCAATGAAGGTTCTATGCTTTCAGGCCAAGTTCCAGATTTATCCAGAGAAGCTATCCTTGACAAAACTCATTATGTAAGAATTACTACTGTAATTTGTTCCATTAGAAACAAATATAACTTATAATCACCCTTGTGTTTGGTAGCACTGGCATATGTTTCCCTTTTTATTTTGAAGATCTTAAAGGGCAAGTTTCTTTAAACTTAAAAAACAAAACTCCACAGCACCTACTACATTTACTGCTACCCACGCACCAGTTAGTAAAATAAGTGCTACTACAATACTAGGAATAGCTAATGTTCCAATATTATAAGATCTCTCACTTATAATTATGTTGAGGTCTAAACACAAAAGTAAGTAACCTCCATCTCATCAATAAAACATGAGGTTTAATTATTCTGTCAATAAGAAGAGATTCAGAAAAGATATACTAAGGGTCTCTTCCAAAATTTTACAAAAAATGACAGCATCTCAACTCACCTGTTCTATAAAATCCAGTTGTTACAACGTGAAGTAGTAGGTATTGGAACTAAGAATGATATAAATAGAAATTAACAATTCGGAGATTAGAATAAGATGCAGGAAATTACTCTGCAGTGCTATTTTTCTTTATTTCAGAGTACTCAGGGATGCTGAGAAGCTAGAAGCACCTTATAACCAAAGTAAAAGAAATCAGTACATAGCACCATAACGCGCTGCATCCATTTTTAGATGTTTTCTCTGGGAAGGGCAGGAGAGACTACACAATGCTTGTTTTGGGGCTTTCTCCTTTTTTACCTCAAACTGTGAAATTTCAGTTGCATTTAAAAGTTGACAACTAGAGAAGGTCCTTAAAAAAGGTCACCCAGGGTGATATGTCAAAATTCATGAATTCTTACTGTGTTTTTGGAAGTGTGTTCTGATGCAATAGTGGCCAGCTCCTCAAGACTGTACTTGGTCACATCTGCCTGAGGTGTTCCGTTTGGACTGAGAATCTGGAAAAACTCACTGTTTGCTAAGAAACACAGGGAAATAAACAGGTGACAACAGTATCTTCAGGAAAGTATTTTTATCACTATCAGGCTGGAGGTGGACATCTCAGTGCATCTTCCTCAACACCAGATCAATCTCAGGCTTTTGCATTATGTTACTAATAGTTACACAAACTTAATATAATGAATTTTATGAATTCTCTATGTTCTGTAATAGATCACATGAAACAAGATACATTTAAGGTACTGAAACAAGTTACTGAAACAGAAAAATCTAGATACACACCATTTTCCTGGCAGAAATGCGACTCCAGCATTCAGGAACTATATATCACATATGAGGTACAGAGATTTGTGCTAGACACTGACTTTACAAAACCCTTACGGAAAAAATAACAAAAGAAAAAGAGGGAAAAGTGCTTATAATTATTCATTTTTAATTTGGTAAATTCCTGATATATCATGTCTGGATTTTAAAAATAGGTCTATGACAGGGAAAGGTAACTGTGTTTAGTCAAATGTACATTTTCCCCTAACATTCACTGAAACACAATGTTCCTTTAAAAAGTTAAGTCTTGGGGACCAGCAGGTGGCTGGTGGTTAAAGCGCTGGATACTCCCACATGACTGACCACAATTCGAGTACTGGACCTGGTGGCTTGCTTTCTCACTTTCCCTCTCTCTCTCTGTGTCTCCCTATGGTCAAATTAAAATAAATGAATGAATAAATAAAAAATAAATAAATAATTCTTTTTTAAAAAAAGTTAATTGTTTCACTGTGCTCATACAAAACTCTCCTGCAACATCAGCAAAATATCGCACAGTTAATAAACTATTACACACAAAAATTTCTCCTCTTCCTAATTAAAAAAATAAAGACACTAAAGCAATCAGTGTAGATTTGCTGATCTTAAGTAGGAGAGCTCCTGATTTCTTTTCTGGCCAAGCCCTCCAGCTCCCCACTGCCTTCTCTCGGGCTGGTTTACCTTGCACACTGTGCACACAGCGCAGGGCATAGTGGAGGGCGTCCAGAGTACTCGGTTTCTTGTGTCTCTCCGACGGAAAGTATTTTTTCATTTCTTGCACAACCATTACAAGTTCTTCAGAAACTCTCTTCCAATCTTGCTGTTCACTGGAAGACGAGAAGTTACAAATTCACGCCGTCGACAACTGCTAACATTTATGCGATGTAAACTACATGCCAGACTAAGTGCTTTCAGGATATCAACTCATTCATGAATAGTTCACAGGGTCATCTCACAGCTAGGGAAGTGTGGCAAAGAAAATGACAATCAAACATTTCCCTCTCTCTCTTATTCCTACCAAAACCCCCACTCAGCTAAATTCTTCAACAACCACTTTTTCCCTGAAGACTGGTACTCTTCGGTCATTTTCTTCCAGTGCCTCGAGTCACTTCATCATAAATTGACTGAGACTTCCTCTCCCCTTTCCTGAACAGATTTAAACACCCCCTCCCCTTTCCCTGCTCCAAGGAAGGACTACACCGCGGGGCTGTGCACGCAAGCCCCAGTCACCTGTGACTGTCGTCCAGGCTTGTCCTCTGCAGCTGGAACTCCGGGCTCCACAGCCCTCCAGCCCCTCGGCCCAGCGTCCCGGCGCCTGGTCCTTCCAGATGCGCGGGCGCCTGTCCCTTGAGGTCCGCAGGTTTCTTGCCGGCCGTGCCCAGCCTCTCGCCGGGGTCCATCTTGCGCGGGACAGCCTCGGTCCGCTGCCTACTTCTCTCTTACTTTGCAACCAGCGACTGGAAAGGATTTCTCCTTTCGGTCCATGCCATTGCGCTAGGGAGAGTGGCTCGTCATCCCAACCAGCAACTAGTGACTGGGTTCACCGCGAACTTTTCTCTCTACACTGCTCTCCATTTCCATAAAGCCAGCGGTCGCGTCTGCGGGAGTCCAGCCTTGGGGAAGGTGACAAGAAACAAACAATTCGATGCGGGCAACCGTGCTGGCCACGGCTCCCAGGCCGAAGCAGCTTCGAAGAAGTTCCTCACCCCTGACCCTTTTCCACCGTCAGTTCTGGAAACTTGACGTGAACCGGGACACGGGGTCGGAAAAGGGGTAACTGGGAGTGGAAGGCAGGGAAACGGTCGACCGGCGCGCTGTCTCGAGGCCGGCCCCGTGCAGCTTGGCCACAGGTGCCGCGCCTCCGGCCCGCCACGTGACTGGACTCCGCCCCCTGGCCGCGCGATTGGCCGCCCCCGCTGGCTCTGCCCGCGCGATTGGCCGCGCCGGTTGGCTCTGTGGGCCTCCATTGGCCCGGGGGCGGGGCCCGAGCAGGGCCGCCGGGTTACATAAGCGCAGGCCAGTGTACGGGAGCGACGGCCCGGGAGCACGTTACATAACGCGTGGGGGTCGGGCTGAGGACAGTGTTGGGCCAATCCCGGCAGGCCGGCTTACGGGCGGGAGGCGGAGCGATGCGGAAGAGGCCCCGCCTCCTGCACGCTGCGGGGCAGCGCGGCTGTGATAGGGTTCGGGAGCTTAGTCGGAGACCCAACCCGGAGGCGGAGTGGGCGGGGTCGACTCGGCCTCCACGTGAGAGGCCGGAGGGGCGGGGCGAGCGGACTTTGTCCTGCGCGGTCTGCGGTCTGCGAGACCGCGGGTAGATCTCCGACCAGGGAGCCGTGGGCAGGCGGAAGAAAGCTTTGGACATCGGAGTGCTTTCAGATCGTCTTGGGTTTCCACTGTTTTCATCTTTCCGCCCCTTCTCGCTCTCCCTCCGACAAATCCTTTAGGAGAATGAGGTGGGCTTGGCGGACCTGGTCATGTAGCAGCCCCAGTAAAAACCCAGCCCCATTTTCAGAATTTGGACGGTGGATCTTTCCCTGGTCTTCCTAAAATTACATATTTATTTGGCCAGGATGAACTGGAGGAATACACGGGTAAGACACTTTCAAAAAAGGGAAAACAAGGGACCAGCAGTTAGCGTAATGGCTATGTCGCTGGACTGCCACGTAGTTCAACGCGGTTCGAGTCCCGGACCCAGTGGCTTAAACTCATGCCGGTTGCGTGTGCCTGTGTGCCCAAGATCCCGAGAGGAGAATGGAGAAGGGATTGCGGCGTGGCCATCCCTCCTGGGGGGTGATTTCTCGCTCTTTGTGTCTCTTTGTCTGTCTGGCGAGCGCACAGGCCCTATAGCAAAAACCTCTCAAAAAAAAAAAAAAAAAGGGAAAACAAAAACAGTCGAAGCTTTTTAGACCATATCTCAACCCATCCAAAATGAAAGGAACAGTGCAGAGCACTGCCCTTTTGCACGGCTGCCTGGCATATCGAAAATACTTTGTTGGATGAAAGGAACTGCACAAAAAGGGGGAGGGAGTGAAGTGGGGGCGCTGTTCCTATTAGGTATTGGATTAAACCACCTTATTTATTCAAATGATATCCTACGTTGGATCTACTCTGAAGCTATTGTCAAACTGCATTCACTCAGTAGTTATTGAGTGCATATCTGGGCAGGGATGATGGAAGCCCCTGGGGATAAAATGGTGAACCAAAGTCCCTGCCACTATACATGGCATTTAAAAAATGTATAAAGGCAACTATGATTGACTGATTGAAGTAACTTCAGAAAGTGTAAAGTACTCTGTAGAAAATAAAACAAGCTGGGCCAGCTAGAGGCCTAATGGTTAAGGCAACTGGATCCCACATGGTCAACTGTGGTTTGAGTCCTGGACTCAGTGGTTTAAAAAAACACAGCTGCCACGTTATTGCCTGCCCAAATTCCAAGAGGAGAATGAAGAAGGGATTGTTGTTTTCCATACCCTTTGGGGGTGTGTTCTTTCACTCCCTCCTACAGATGTGCACACATCTAACAGAACATTTTAAAAATATAAACAAAGTTGGGCTGGCCACACACCTTAGTGGTTAAGGGAATGGGATGCCATAGAGCTGCCATTAGAATCTTGGCCCTGGAAACATGGGGGAAAAAAAACCAAAAACAAAAACAAGGGCACGCAGGTCACATGTGCAGGGTGGAGAAATGGAGAAGGGATTGACATGACAACCCCCCATCAAGGAGTGATTTTTCCCTCTCCTCCTCCCTTTGGCCCTCTAGCAATTAAAAAATAAATACATAAAACAAAAGAAACTAATGGGATGATGTGTAACTAGGATAGAAGTGGAAGGTGAAGAAGGTAAGAGACCCATCAGTCTGGAGACCAGGAAGACCTCTGAGAAAGCGAAATTGAAACCTGAGTGAAGAGAGGAACCTGCCACAGGGGTGGGGAAGTGGACCCAATACCAGCCAAGGTCCAGGCTGAACAAGTTTGTTGAGAAACAGAAGGACAGTATCCTTTCTTGAAAGATATAGTGAGAGTGGTGTGAGATGAAATCAGAACCCAAGGCCCAGGTCATGGTGGGGCTTGTAACTAGGGAAAGTAATTCAGTTTTCTGTTGTAAACATAAGCGAGTCACATGTACCAGGTGTTTATTCTATGATAATATGGAATAAGGGTGGAAGTATGTACAAGGGGAAAGACGGCAATACAGAATGAAGCCATGTGTTTGGAGATGTTCCTCATCCACACTTATTTATCCCGTGTCGCACATACACCACAATCTAGTCCACCTATATGGGCCAGCGCCACACATCACTTTAGAAAAAAAGAAACTTGAGTCAAATCTGAACGTTCTGGTTAATGGTATGACAACCAGTTCCCTAACTCATTTAAACTGAAAAACACTTTCCATTAGGGGAGTAGTTTGCTTCTATTCGCTAGGGTATGGAGAAACACAAGGATGAGAAAAAAAGGAGTACCTAGGGTGTGGATTGGTGAGAAAGGAGAAAAGTGTAGTTTGGTGGTTCATGTGGGGGTGCACAGCCAAGTGACATCTTTAGGACTTGGACCAGGCACAGCTATTCCTATACAAGGAACCACAGATGCCAGAGTTTTGTTTATAAACACTTTATTCAGGTCTTTATAGCTGGCAAGTGCCCAGCTAAATGCACAGATACAAGCAAGGTATTCTGGGTTAATGCAGGAACCACTGGGTTACATGGCACTGAGCATCAAAACCAGGGAGAGAGCACCAAGGTTTCAAAGTCAGACTTGGCCAGAGACTGTGCTGAGAGCAGAATAACGTCTGGACACTGACGGCGAGCTGTTTCCTTCTCACAGCTGAGCGTACTGAATGGCATGTCCTCCACACTAACTTCAAACATGCTAGAATAGATATTAAAGAAATGGAACCCACGTCCTGGTGCACCTCGGCTGTTGTTGCTTTGTAAACCATACGAGCATGTGAACAAGAATTTCAGAACATTCTGGTAACGAGAGGGCACAGAGCAGAAAAGCCTGTATGTTTCTCCCTCAGTGCCTCCTTGCCTGTTCTCACTCACAACTCCCGTCTCTAAGTCACATACCTTCACACTGAATGAAACACAATTCTGTGCTAGAAGTGTGAAAATAATTCCTTTTTTTTTCATTTATAAACACTTTATTCAGGTCTTTGTAGCTGGCAAGTGCCCAGCTAAATGCACAGATACAAGCGAGGTATTCTGGGTTAATGCAGGAACCACTGGGTTACCCGGCACTGAGCATCAAAGCCAGGGAGAGAGCACCAAGCTTTCAAAGTCAGACTGGGCCAGAGACTGCTGAGAGCAGAATAATGCCTAGACACTGACAGCGAGCAGTTTTCTTCTCTCAGCTGAGCGTACTGAATGGCACGTCCTCAACACTAACTCACTTCAGTGATGCTAGGGGAATAGATGTTAAAGAAATGGAACCCACATCCTGGTGCACCTCGGCTGTTGTTGCTTTGTAAACCATATGAGCGTGTGAACAAGAATTTCAGACATTCTGATAATGAGAGGGCACAGAGCAGAAAAGCCTATGTGTTTCTCCCTCAGTGCCTCCTTGCCTGTTTTCTCTCACAACTAACTCCCGTCTCTAAGCCGCATACCTTCACACTAAATGTCTCCTGTACACAGCAAAATTCTCTCAGATGGCAATTACGACTTCTAAAGAAGCAGCTTGTGCAGGCAGCTTCCAATATTAAAGAGCATGTCTCTGGTTAGCTATCCTCCATGAAGAGAGTCACTCATCCCTCATCAATGCCCAATTGCAATCTAGAAGACTGACTTAGCAAGTACTATATGAATAAACACAGAAAACAAACTCCAAAAACCTAGTCTATGAGGACTGGGCCAGATAATGAGCAAGTTCATAGATGGTCTTGCTTGAAGGCTACAAAATTGTGCTCACATAATTATTCACGATGTAATAGCATCCACAGCCGATGAGCTCCAGACTGCTGGGTAAACTGTAGGTAGGAGATGGTGAGAGTCTAGCTCAAACCTCCTCTAACTCCTGAAGAAATGCTGAGTCAGAAGAGGGATTACGCCATCTACAGCACTTCAAAGGCAAGAAAGGCCTGTCAAGATGTCTTGATATAACGTTCACACACAATAGTACAGTTTTCATTTTTCATTTTGAAGGGCACCCTGAGTTCCATTTGGCACTTCTTTGAATTTATCTGTCAGGAATAGACTTAAGGACATTCTATCTGTATTTAAATTTTTGGCAAAATAGAAACTTTGGTCATAGCCATAGTTCTATAAAAACTTTTTACAGGGGTCATTTCTGATTAAAATAATGTTTTTAGCAAATGCTACATAATAACAAGGAAGTAAACATCTTCATATCTAATGTAAGAGCAAAAACTCTACCAGCATCTTATTTTAAATGTAGCGAGAGTCAGTAGTTGTTACAAAAAGTAGAGGGTTCTCTTACAGGGAATCAGAAAAATATCAAAATAAGGCACAGCCTGTTGTCACGGATTTGTGTTCGGCAGTAGTGTTCTTTCTGGAAGGCACAAGTTGAAAATTTGACTACCCAAATGTTTAAAATATGGTTCTGAGAATAATGCCATTTGACAAAGGTAGCTAACTTGGAACCAATTTCCTTAACTGGAATCAATGGCGATTAATTAGTGACAACACTACACCTGGATTACAGCACTCTGGAACTTACGAAGTATGCTTCATCAGCCCGTGTGTAAATCTGTAAAGGCTTTGTGCAAAATGAGGGAGGGGCTGGCCACACTTCTAGTTTGGAGTGCATATTAAAAAAACAAAGGCACGGTTCCTAGAAATTGAACTTTACATTAAATAACAAAAAATAATCATTTTAGATATAACAGTAGGTAAGCTTGATAATATAGCAGGTTCTAAGTGAAAAGTCTTGAAGCGGTTTCTTGAACAGTAGGCTTCAGTTTCACTGGTTCTTCATGAAGAAACACTCCACACTAATAAGCAAGGGAGATGCAAAAAAAAAACAGGGAAAATAAAAGTTTAGTCTCTCAGTGCAAATCCAGCATCAGTATCAAAATGATGTAGTCTAAATGTGAACAGAAAGATCTGGCCGGTTTCCTACTAGCAGTGTCACTATATTCTATGAAGCACAGAGGAGACTAGAGTCAAAAGGAAGGACTGAGGTAGCCCTACATTCTTGTTAAGATGAAATATCCACTAACATTGACCCATCAATTAAAGGAAGACATGTTTCTCTAAATAGTCCCCGAATATGGGCCAGCAGGGGGTATGGTGGTGAAGACAATAGAAATGAACAAATTTTCTCTAATAGCAAAAGATTAATATTTATATTAAAAAACTCAGACTTATATTGACTGACTAAAATTAAAACAACAATAAACTAACATTTCTTTTTTTTTAATAATTATTTACTTTATTTTATTTATTCATTCACTTTATTTTTTAGTTTGACCAGAGAGAGACAGAGGGTGAGAGTGAAAGAGAGAGGAAGTGAGAAAGCAAGCCACCAGATTCAGGACTTGAACCCTGGTTGGCCATGTGGGAGTGTCCAGCGCCTTAACCACCACGCCACCTGCTAGTCCCCACAATAAACTAACATTTCTAAGTTGATTCATTTATTTTCCCTAAATAAGAGGGCCATGAGAGTCAGCCTTGTGTGTCATGTTTTACTGATGTACCACGGTATGGCCCCTAAACTAACATTTCTGAGAGAACTCTTAGTGTGAGTTCTTGTACATACAATCATCTGTGAATACATGGAGGAGACTTTTCCAATGAGTTGAGCACAGGTTAACTCACCAACAATGATGATGATGACAATGATCAGAACAGTAATCCCTATGGCCCACATCTGTAAAACAAAACAACAAAAACCAAATAGCCATAATGTGCTTACTGAAGAGTATCATATGATATTACTCTAGTCACAGCGACAGACATTACAGTGCACTGCTATCTAGAATAATTCAAAATTTCTAAAGCCTAAATTTGATGTTCTCAATTAGGGCCTGAAAGTTACTTATCTGCTTTTATCTGCTTTTTAAAAGATATTCAAATGATCTGTGGTCCCTACAGAGGCATTTGTTTGTATACACACATTTTCCACACAAAGAAGGGCTACTAAACTTGTCCCACATGACTGCGAATAACAATTCTAAACAAGCCAAGAGCGGGATAGATTTGGGATCTGGTCACAGCACATTTCCTTTCTCACTGTATAAAATCTGCTTCGGGCCATGCTCTTTATGGGGCTGCTTGCTTTCTTCTGTTGAGCACTCTGTGACTGACTGCCATTTCTTCCCCTTGACCTTGGAGCCCTTCACAGAAAACTACCTGCAAACTGCCTGTCCATCCCAGCTTCCCTCCTCCAGTCTGCATTCAGGGCTCTGCAGGGTGGAAGTCTGCAGAGATTAATGTCGAAATGACTCTGGACATTCTTATTCCGTATGCTTCTTAAGATCAGCCACAGAACATGGCTTCTGGTTGTGGGGAAAGGGTACACAATCGGTGTTTTAGATTCAAACCCACCTCCCTGGTTCCTAAGAGTATGTTTGTAATTTTTGTCAGCTCTCTTGGAATGCAGAGTAGACTTAATGTAAAGATTGGTTGTACGAGAATTACCTTGCAATTCTTCCACCAGTATTTTCTCTTCAACTTGGCAGCACTTGTTTCAAACTGAGAAGCTCCTGCCTGCAGCGCATCTGCACGGTCATCTAACTCGGAGAGTTTCTGATCTCTTTCTAACACCTTGTCCACATTGACTCTCATTATGTCCACCACCTAAACGCATGTGATCACAGCAAATGACACATAAAGGGAGGGAGAAAAAAAAATTCCGATAAAATCTACTTGCAGAGTTTGTTCAAGTTGACACTTTATTATTTTGAGTCAAACTGTCATTAAAAAACAAAAAGATTTAAAACTGTTCTCACGATAAAAACATTCAGCAAACTAAGGATAGAGGGGAACTTCGTAACATGATAAGGGTACTTATGGGAAAACCTACAGCTGATATCATACTCAGTGGTGAAAGATCAAAATATTCCCCTTAAAATCAGGAATGAGACAAGAATGCTTACTTTTACTACTGCTAGTCAACAATGTATTGGAAGTTCTGGGCCAGAGCAATTAGTCAAGAAAAAGAAAAGGCATAGAAATTGGAAAGGAAGGATAAAACAATCTCTATTTGCAGATGATTCTCTATCTATGGAAAATCCCAAATAATCCACAAAAAAAACTACTAGACCTAATAAAATCAGAAAAGTTGCAGAGTACAAGAGAAACACGCATCCACTAATTGTGTTTTTATACACCATCAGGGAATAATCTGAAATTAAGAAAACAACTGTGTTTACAATAGCATCCAAAAGAATAAAATACCTAGGAATAATTTTTTTTGGTCACAAATAGGACTTTTTATTTGTCACTATTGAAAGTCTGAACTTTAAACAGATTCTTGGATTGGTGGTTCATATCCATCAGCATCATCTAGGAATAAATTTAATCAAGGAGGTGAAAGACATACATAATGAAAACTATGAAACATTGCTGAAAATTACCTAATTACATGCCAAGACTGGAAAACAATACTGTTAAGATGGCAGTACTTGTGAAAGCAATGTACAAATTCAATGTAATCCTCACAAAAATTCCACTTACTTTTCTTTTTCAGAAATGGAAAAGCCAATCATCAAATTTATTTATTTGTTTATTTATTTTTAGAGGTTTTTGCTATAGGGCCTGTGCACTCGCCAGACAAAGAGAGACAGACAGAAAGCGAGAAATCACCCCCCAGGGGGATGGCCATGCTGCAATCCCCTCTCCTCCATTCTCCTCTCAGGATCTTGGGCGCACATGCACACACACCCACGTGAGTTTTAAGCCACCGGGTCCGGGACGCGAACCGTGGTCGACTACGTGGGAGTCCAGCGACATAGCCATTATGCTAACTGCTGGTCCCGCCAATCATCAAATTTATATGGAATTTTAAGGGGCCCTGAATAGATAGAACAATATTAAAAAAAAAAAAAAGAAACAAAGTTCCAGGGTTCACACTTCCCAATTTCAAAACTCACTAAAAAGCTAGAGCAACCAAAGCGGTATGATATTGGCATAAGGACAGACAGACAGACAAAGTGAACAGAAATGAGAGTCTAGAAATCAACCCAAACATCTAAGATCAATTATTTCTGACAAGGGTGCCAAGACAATCCAATGTAGGAAAAGTGTCTTTTCAACAAATGTGGATAGCCACGTAGAAAAGAATGAAGTTAGACCCTCTCACCACAAATACAGAAATTAACTCAAACTGGATCAATAACCTAAGTATAAAGGCCAGAACTACAAATCTCTTGGACAAAAAACCAAGAGTAAATTCTCATGACTTCATATTTGGCCATGAATTTTTAGATTTGATACCAAAAACAAGATAAATAAAAGAAAGAAAAAAAAACATAAACTGGACTTCGTAAAAATTTAACACTTTTGTGCATCATGGGACATTATCAAGAATGTAAAAGACATCCTATAAAAAGGGAGAAGATAATTCCAAAATCACATATCTAATAAATAGAATTAATATCCAGAACACATGAACTGTAAGATCTTACACTTTGATAACAAAAAAAAATCAAACAATACGATTAAAACATGGGCAGAGGACTTGAATAGCCATTTCTTCAAAGATATTCAAGTGCTTAATCAGTACATGAAGAGATGCCCAACATCACTCATTTAGAGAAATGCAAATCGAAACCACAGGGAGCTACTAGGATGGCTACATGAGACAGACACATACACACACTTAAGCGTCGGTGAGGATACGGAGAAACGGAGTCCTAGGACTCTGCTGTGAGGTATATAAAATGGTGTAGCCATGTGGGAAACAGTTTGGTGGTTCCATAGGGAGTTAAACATAGATTTACCAAATGACCTTGCAAATTCTGTGCCTGGGTATACACTCAATAGAAATAAAAACATTATGTCTAAAAATCTGGTATGCCAGTGCTTATAGCGGCATTATTCATAATAGCCAGAGGCAGAAACAACTCAAATATCCACTTAATGAATGGATCAGCAAGCCATGGTATACATATACAACGGATTATCCACCATTAGAAGAAACAGGTACTAATAATTGCTTCTGCTTTGGCAAACTTGAAATCAGGCTAAATGAAAGATACCAGACACAAAAGACTACTTATTGCATGATTTCTTTTATATGATACACCCAGAATAGGCCAATCTATTGTAATAGAAAGCTGATTAGAGGTTACTATTGAATGGGAGGCAGGGGGCCCAGAGACTGATGACTAAAATGGGTAGGAGGTGTTCTTCTGGGGTGATGAAAAAGTTTTAAACTAGAAAGAGGTAATGGTTGTAAAACACTGTTAATATTCTAAATGCCACTAAAAGGTACAGTTTAAAATGGTTAATTACATGTCACATGAACTTCACCTCAATTAAAACAAAAACCTCCCCTAAAATTTTAGATTAAAAAAAAAAAAAGGATTGTGTCAGCCAGTGAGGTGGCGATTAAGGTGCCAGATGCCCCACAGCTCACTCCAAGGTTCGAGTCCCAGACGTGGCAGCTTCAAAATCATGCTCAGTGCATGTGCGTAGATGCCCAAAATCTCAAGAGAGAAAGGACGGTGGCCTGACCGTCCCCCGCCCAGGGGAGTGATACGTTACTTCCCCTCATCCTCTCTCTGGCAAGTGCACGCATCTCGTGGCAAAACTAAAACAAAAAGGACTAGGCCAGCTGTATGGTGCAGAGATGAGAAGCTGGATCCCACATGGTCATGGTCACCATGGTTTAAATTCCAGGCCTGGACAGCCTAAAAACATGCAGGTGCATGTACTGGCGTCTAAGACATGACAGACTGGAGGACTGGAGGAAGGAGATCATGGCATGACCAAACCCCATAGGGGGTGCTCATCTCTCTCCCCCATTCTCTCATATGCATGAGTACACTTAATCATGAGTGGAGGAGGAAAAATAAATTATTTAAACAATGGGTTAAAAAAAAGGATCCAAGTTGGCTTTTTAAGTAACCAAAAGTATCAGGCAGGATACACTTAGAATGGATTTCTTTCTATGAAAGTGCAAAATTTTTTCACAATTAAGTTCATAAACAAAACCATCAGATCAAAACCTTAGTATTACATTTAGACTATGGTTTCTAATTTTAACTCTGCCTTTTTTTGTACAGCTGAATGTGGAAAGACCAAGATGTTTTTGTTAAGACAGTGGAAGCTTTTAGTAATTTGAAAATACTAGTCTCAGTTTCCAAAAGTTTCCCATGCAAGTTCTGCTTTGGTACAGCAAAACAAGATTCTGTGAATGTTCCTAGCTCAATAATTCTATAAATCTAGATTTGTTGGACTATGAAGTTTGCCAGCATCTGCCTTCTGTATGTCAATGGGCAAACGTAAGAGATGAATTCTAGAGAGGCTTGCTTATGCTAAGCAACTAGTAAATTGCTACAAGACAAAGCATTTTGATTTGATAAAAAAAAATCTGACTGGAACATTTGATCCTGACTTGAGCGGTCTATAGACCTAATCCCTAACATTTATTATCTTTTCTTTATTAGAATTTTTAAATTTTTTGTTATTATTTTTAAACATTCAATAGCTATACAACATTCGGCTTATAAAGAGAATTTACCTAAAATGAAATACTTCTCAGACCAGACCAGTTGAGAATACTATACGTGTTATCAACAGGTCATAAACCATTTCAGTGTCCCACAAATGTCATGCCTATTTTTCTCTCCTGCTTTCCTTCCCTATATTCTTCCCTTCTCCCACCCTCCTTCCACATTGTCTTCAACGTTCATAACTATTTTTACTGCTTTTATGTCCTCCAATATTTTAATCTCTACCATAAAGTACAGATTGTCCAGTCAGTATATATTAAGTGGATATATACAATGTCTCTCTTTCATAGCCCGGCTTGCTTCACTCAGCACTAACTCTTCCATATTTGACTACTTTCTATAAAATGCCAGCGTCTTGTTTTGTATAGCTGAATAGTATTCCATGGAATATATGTGCCACACTTTTTCAATCCATTCATCTGTTTGTGGACATCTGGATTGGTTCCATGTCTTTGCAATCGTGAATAATGCTGCAATAAACATTGATGTGCAAGCGCTTTTCCAACTGAGCATTCTCCTGTCCTTTCGGTAGATATCCGGGAGTGGAATTTCTGGGTCAAATGATAGTTCTACTTGCAGATCTTTGAGGAATCTCCATATTGTTTCCCACAGTGGATCAATTTATGTTCCTACCAACCATGCAGGAGAGCTCCTCTTCACTTGTTACCCTATTTTATAAAGTGGTTCTTAGGAAATAAGTCATAGGAAAATAAGAAGGAAATTCACCAGGAGAGTAAGACTTCTGCCTAGATTAGGGCTTCCAGAACAGCAGGGGGGGGGGCAATTTTTTTGTTATATTTATGACACAGTCAAAATTTGCATTCACATTTTCATACTTTTCCTCAACAGAATTTCCAGAGGGCTCCCATGTTTGTTTAAAATTTATGTTTCTACCATTTCAGAGCAATACCTCATCTACTTGATTCTGCGTCTGCTGAAGTCTTCTACTGCTGCCAACAGCAGCACTTGAACCTGCAGGCACGTCTGCAGACCTAGAATGTGTGAAGGAATGAGCATGAGTAAAACATGACTCCAGATACATTTTCCTCACTAGAAAGATCTTATCCTAGGACTTTCAGTGTGAACAATTTTTTACACCAGAACTAAAGCAGGAATAAACAAATACATATACAGGAAAAGGAAGAAATCATTCCTGCAGTAATAACAAAAGTTCTAAAGGTAGTTTTTCTAATTCCTCTAAATTTCCAAGATTGTTCCATATGCAAAAATGACCAGGGTCTAAGGTGAGGAGGTGTAATAGGATCCACTTTGCATCAGTAAAGTACCTGATTCCAAGATAAAGTAAACTCTATTTTCCAATTTTTTAAAATATTACTTGTTTAAAGGCACACATCTGCTTAAATACACTCTATCCCCTCTTGATTTTTTTTCACTGTGGCAATAACTGTTTTCATAATCATGAACAATTATAAAATGTCCTTTTCCAATATGGAGAAACAGGTTTATTTCAAAAACTGGGTCAGGAACACCAGGGAGGACAGCAGTGGGAGAAGTGAACTGAAGCTAAGCTTACTATCTTAGCAAGGCACATGTCTTTTAAATTTTTCATTGAATGCTTATTTTTCCCCCATGCAGGTTTTAACCACTGTAGCTTTGGAAGTCCTTACTGCATCCATTACAGGGTTGGATTCACTTTGCTTTTTAAGATACACACAGTCTTGCCTCCCTAGACAGAATACAGGCTCTTGGATCCTATTAATACAGTACAGTTCTTTGTATCCAAGACAGCACCTGGCCTGTGCCTTACTGCACAGCAGCCCCTGATTCACTGATTCAACACGCAGTTATTTTACATCTACCACGTGTCTGACCAGGGATACAGCATATCTGATGGACAGCTGCCCTCTGAGTTTAATGTCTTAGAAAATAGGTAAGGCCATGCCTAGTTGTAGGCCCTTTGCATTTATTTTTCTCATTTAATTTTAACTCTTTTCAGGGCGATACTAATTTTACCCTCACTTTATAGATGAGTGAAGCCCTGGTTGTAAAGGTACACAGAGCTGGCTACAGTGGAGTTTGTGTTGAGACCAGGTCCTCTAGTATTCCAGGGATCTAGACCTTAACTACTGCGATCTACCGGCACCGCAGTCTCAGCAGAACACTCCAGAGCGGAATTCCTAAAAGAAACCGAGGGTTTCCGCCAAGGGTGAGCCACTGAGTAAACTGCAGGAAGAATAGCCCCTGTGTTTACAGTAGCATTTACTGATGTTACCACTGGAAACAACAGCTTCAAAGTGCTCTGGCCTAAGAGAACGAAAACCCACGGCTCAGTTAGCTTCTCGAGTGTCTGCTCCCAGCTAGCCAGTGGCCACTCTGGCCCTTGCGAGCTGTTCCTCTACAGAGCCGAGGTCCTTTTGCTGGGCACTTCCGGAGCCCAGCACAGCACCAGGCAGATTGGGCGCTCTGGATAAAGGGCAGCCTTCACCGCCCCACCTAGGAACTCCGGGGACCGGAGGCAAGGGGCGAGGCGCCAGGAATGCTGGGGAACTACTCGCTTCTTCCGGGGAGCCCCCTGCCGTCCCGCCCTGGCTCCTTCCGCATCCGCTCGAAGGCCGGGACGGTCGCAATGGTCGGCGCCCCGGCAAGACCAGTTCGGCCAGTCTGCAGCCCACACTTTTGGGGCCACCGCCCACCCCAGGCCTCGGGAGCCCGGCGAGGGCCCGCACGGCCTCCGTCCGCGTACAAGCCGTGGCTGGCAGCACTCGGGAGCCCGAAACCGTCCGGCATCGCGTAGCGTCACTCACATTTTGGCGGTGGCGGTCGAGGGTCGGTAGCGCTGCGCAGCAGAGACCCGAGGACTGGAGATGGGCGGGGCGGGGCGGGGCGACGCAACGAGGGCACGATGACGTCGCCGGGGGGGACGCACCGGAAGTGGGCGGAGCCGTCTGGAGGCGGGGGGGGGGGCGTGCTTCGCAAAGGGGGCA